CGTTAAAGAACCCGACGACCAGATGGTAATGATCAGAAACTTTAGCACATTCAGGAGAGGACGAACAAAGTAGAGAAACGAAATTATCCGTCTTCTACTTGAAGTAGACTCTCGATAGATCGAGTGGAATCTTACGCCATTGAACTACAGATTTGGCCAACCTACAATTTTCGTAACTGCATTTGTGGTAGTTTCTTACTATATAAAGTTGTGCTCAAAATTACTGATATCGGCGGCACTATTCGGCTTGAACAATAATGGAGTTAATCCTTGTGGTATGCAAAGGATACAGCGGTACAGCGGTCTTCGACCGTATACGAACTCCATTGAATACTGTTGCTAACCAGTGCCGAACTGTATGCCAGCTTAAGCACAAATGTCGTGACCGAGAGGAAAGAAGTTAAAGGGTGTATGTGTCGCCATACCTGATAGTTTGCGAGGACTAACCGGTCTTGGCAGGAATTGCGCAACGGCTTGTCAGAGGAAAGAACTCGCTCGTTTCTGCCGCTTAGTAATAACGAACGTATTCATCCGTGATGAGTCACCGACGGACTCCAGAAGGCGTATTCGTGAATTGGCAAGAAGTGGTTACAGAAATACGTCTATGCAGGCTTGTTGTCTGTCCGATCCTTGAAATCTGCAGGTGCGAAACGTGCTTCTGACGTCTCTCGTAACACTGTCATATTTGCCACTTTGTTTAAGTGCTTTAGCCATTAGTACACAAACCTATTCGTCTTGTGTTCAAGGCAACTTGTTTCATCAACTAAACAGCGCTAGGGAGTTGCAACCGATTCCAGTGAAATTCCGTTAAACAGAAGCAGGTTCAAAAAGCAATCTGCTCACGAAACAGTAAAGTAGCTGGTTTCATTCATAGAGTTCAGCCAAACAAAGAGCCAACATTACTCAGCATTCGTACACATTGATACACGGTCTAGTGTGCATAACGACAGAAAGTTATTGTGGTCAAGCATTCCCACGATTCTAGAGTATCGTAGTACAATAAAAACGGCATACAACAAATTTTAGGCTGATATGCACTTTGAATGGAATTTATCCACGCACACACACAATATGGTGGCGCACCAACAACATTTATATACCTAAACATAGCTTTGCATACACGACGGCGGACACAGGCGTATTCTACGACTGGTAAAATTGAGTAGGCGTACGTTTTGTGCAGTAGGGGAGTGAAAATGGATTTGTTGTGTGTATTTGATCTGAAGCATGCTGTCAGATGTCTCAAGCGTACCTTGCCCGTACGCAGCCTTCTTTAAACTCAAGTTGTGTATCTGAATTTCGTGACCTCTACGAACTGCGGAATTTCCGTGTGTAACACTCAGGTACTGCGCAGAACTGCACTGTGTTGATTAGACGAAAGAAAGGAGCCAACCGCTGCTGTCTAAATGGAATGCTTACGCACACTTGACAATCGGCTTTAAATTTGTCAAGCCTGCAACTTCTCATTACTCTCTTCAGGATGGCTACGTGTGGACTTCTAGCTGTGTTAGTTGCACTAATATGTAAGTTGAAATGGCCGCTAACATCCTCTTTGATTTATTACGAATAAGCGGCAATAAAATAGATTACTATATAATACATTACGGTGTATTTTAAACAGGCGCAACCAACATACCATGTTAAATAAAAGTTGATTCAGATTTGCCGTGACGTAATCATTTTTGCGTTCCCTGCAGCTACCAACCGGCTTAGGCTTTTGTATTTTTACGAGGGTTTCTAAGAGTGTCTGGTTTTAGTCAGGTCAGTTGCATCGGTTTACCTATGTCGTGGAAACTTGTTACAATTCGGATTGTTGGCGTTATTACTGAACGCAGTCAGAGTGTAAATTGTACCTGCGTACTGTTTATGATATTCCATTTTTCGTATCTCAGTGAAATCCCCCAATGCCTAAAAAGTGTACTCGCGTCAAGCGACTGTATTCTTGTATTTATTCAAATTCATAACATGTAACGCGCCGTAAATCAACTGATTTAATTTTATGCACAGTAACCACCTTGTGGAGAACATAAATTATGCAACACTCCATTATTTCTACCCCGACTATCAGGTGTCTTAGGTGTTATTTAGAACATTTGTTTCACACACCCTCAAAAGTTACGATATATATTTCGTAACTTTCACCTTAAGCACTTAAATTGACGGTGGGAGAACACGCTCGGTCATCTGCGCCATGGTAAGCATATGATTCCTTAGTTCTGGGATGTACGCGAGTTGCACGGTGACCGGAGGGAGTGCTTCATAAGTTTCCAGAGTTCAACATTTACGTAAACGTCGTAGGATAATGACATCAGCCGTCTAACGAGCAACCAATTTCATCTGCGATTATAGCATATACATTTCGTATAATAAGTCCCATGGTACTATGCAAAATTAAAATCAGCGTCTACATTTCATTCACGCAGTTGGTCTGAGTAATTATATGGTAGGCAGTTTAATTTTTTCTTGGAACAAGGGAATGACATTACACAATTCACCACAGGCATTTAGCAATTATTCCTATTCTACTTTCTATGCAGATGCGCGTCGCAATTCCTGTTCCTCACTGGGTCATATTGGATCGTTTTAATATAATTTAGCACTTGTTAGTTTGTATTGCATTACATCTTACTTCGTTGTACTTCCCAATCCGTTCAGCTGCATCATCGGTCCTCTGTCAAACGACGTACACCAGTGGTAGGTGGATTACTTTATTTAATCTAGCATATCGCTTGAATTTTGTGACTGATGATGCTGTCCGCATTCATGAATATTCTGTTTGTACTAATGTCCTCCAGTGATAAATTGATGCTATAACATCTGCTGACGAAGAGTAAACTTAAAATATGTTTTCTATTTTGCCTATCTTGGAAGCACTTTCCCTGGGATCCGCAATTGACCTATCATGTCAAACTTTGAAAACAATGTTTTCTAACTGTTATAACCTACAGGACTTCAAGTTTCAGCAACGATCCTCAGGAACGGAAACTCTGCACCATGGAACGCAGAGACTGAAATGGACAGCAACCCAAGAAAATGGGATAAAATGAAAGCTGATGTCTGCTCACTGGTAAGTCAGAAGAATAGAGACACTGTATCACTTTTACGGGCATGTGACACAGATGTAGAACTAAGTTCCAACTAATCAGCTTATTTCTCCTTTCCTGCGCTGCTCAGGAGTTGTCCTGCGCTTGATTGCAAACGATGTAAAGTCAGGGATCATGACGTTCGTACATGTGGTGTGTGACATTTGGAGTAGCGAGCATTTAAGTAGATCAGGCATTGTCTTACAATGGTTGTTGAGGATAAAACTAAATCGGAACATAATTTAAAGTAAATCGCGTCCTCCAATTGGACCGTGCATAAAATTCCAGACCCATATTGTACAGGACAAACGCTGCTGCGATATTGCCAATTATATGTTATCTAACAACTGTTGTTAAGCTAGATTCCGGACTAGGACATAGGTTTTACTTTGTGTTATACAGCCCACTACGGATGATACGAAATGACAAGAAGGACAAGTATCTATCGAAATATTGATAACATAAGAAACTAAATCCAGATTCCTTATCGCTAGTTTCTTCGCGATTTAGCTGTTGAGTCCCTGTGACATCGTAACAAAAAAGAGACATCCATCTAACTTACATGCGTTTCACTGCAGCCTGGCACCCATGGAAAACTATTCGTGCGGTCGCTCTGAACTTGGTTTTTGCAAGTACGCTAGTATTGTATTCAAAGTACGACTCTAATAGTTTCACCTGATGTAGCCACAACATGTGTCAAAAGCCAGGTGCAAACTGCAGAGACGTCAGCAAAGCCACGGATAACCGTGTCTTCCACATCAAGGAAGAGCAGGCGGAATTACATTGCCCTAACACTCCTATTCACCAACGTTTCTGAGTTCAAAGCAAACTCCTAAATGGGAAAAGCCAGTGCGACCTGAACCAGTGCAATTGTGTTTGTGACATCCACATACGGCGCACTACTACGGCGAGTCCCGACTTATACGTGTGACCCTGAGATCCACAGGTGATATCGAGGTGGTAATCTTGTCGGCATACTGGTTCCGCGGCAAATACGGTGCGATACGCATATACGGATGTTCCATGAGGCGAACTCGAGAGGGACAAAAAGAATTCAAACAACCATCATAAGAGCAGTAACGGCAGATTCATTTTGTTCATGACTTGCCTGAGTTACCGACAGCTCAAGATAAGGAAGTCCACGCTCATGTTCATGAAGAATGACGTACATCCGGGAAGCGCTCTGTGCTGGTGACGTTATACCTTGGTGATTTTCGAAGGTGTCCTTGTCGTCTTATTATAGAGACAGTGGCCGAGAATACTAAAACTTTTAGTTTAAGCCTAGAAGATGGCGATTAAATTAGTGCGTGGCTGGCTTAAACTGCGCCACACCCCACCTCCGTAAATAACAGTAAGAGAGCGATTAGCGAACCACAGAGGCTCGACGTCATGGAGGAAACAACATTACCCGTGACCAAATGTAACCACAATAGCTTGTCAGCAAACCATGTGCTCCGACCGGTAGCCACTGGAAAAAAATCAATTATATCTAGACTTGATATTTCACTGTTCACTGGCAAACCACCCGAAAACTAATAAGTGCCAACCATTCTTCAGTCAGCATAGATTCAACCCCTTCATACGCACCTTGTCAAGTGCTTTTGACGTCTAAGAAGCTTTCCTGTATGCACACTAATACTCGGAGTTTATGTAGTAAACTTTCTGAATGGCGATTCTGTCAGAGTCCGAATGCCTGTGACTTCATGGTTATAACGGAGACATGGCATGATGGAATACTGGTTTTACATGGGTAACTGGAGCTAATGCTTAACAGGTACCGTAGGATGGTTATGGTGAAACTACAAAATATAATAAAAATTGTTAAGGCGATTGGGTGAACTCACAGAAGTATACTAAGTATAAACGGTAAATTCAAAGCAAATCCATAAGGAATGACCACAATTAAGATGTTGGTGAAAATCATCTCTCTCTTCCTTGTCTAAACATACAGGACGTGAGAAAGTTGAACGAAATCTGGGACCGCCAGTTACATCTCTTACAGACCCTGGTGTTTATCCATGGGTTCTTAGTCATATAAGCTTGTGCAGCGAAATAAGTGCCCGCTCAACTCGGGCTTTGAACTCTGCCAGCGTAGGAGCACACATGACAGCACCGGTAGGGTATTCCGAGTTCTGAAAATGCGTACGGAAAAGAAATTCCGACGGCGTTCCAAACGATTGTGCTGCTCTGGAAGGTTCAGATGGTGGCTTCTCAAATTGCTGTTGTGACTGCGCTCTAGCAAATAGCTACACCTGTGGTTGAGATCTCTCAAAATCTGATAACTCAAAATTAGGTTCTGCGCAATCGCCGATGCTGTCCGCTGAGGACCCCGGGCACTTGTAGCTTTCGTTCATAAGGCAAATTATACAGACCTTTGATATTCTTGGTTGCTCGGCGTTGGGGTATCTCCAAGGTGATGAGACCTTTTCTCAGCCATGACTGCCGAAACTATGTTGCGTATTCCACATGTGGCCGTATGTATGAGCCGAGAAGTTAAGTAAAAATCGAGGGTTCAACTCGTCCGAATGCAAGCTTTAGAATGCGCACATGTTGGATGCCCCATCTCGACGTCGTTTCAGTCTGCTTCGAACATCCATGGTCGACCTAGACAAAAACTCACAGATCCATCTCGTTAAAAGAGGTTGGAAGCTTCTGGATGCCGAGTTTTCAGGAGTACTCTAACTTGTTTGGTCTGTGCAGCACTCCATATCTGACCACATTAAATCGAATTAAATTCTGGATTAACCACGTGTATACCCTCTCTAGCTTAGCTTGAAGTACTGTGATATCATCTGGTATATTGATCGCCCTCCACACCTTGATCTCGTTGGTATAAAGAAAGCAGTTTGAGCTTATGAGGCGTGTGATATCGGTAATGCACATCAAAAATAATTGCGGTCCTACTACCAAACTCTGTGGTACTCCGCATTCAACTTGCATGGGATCTGACAGGGTTTCATACACTCGGAATTCCAATCCCCGGTGAACAAGAAAACTTTTGATCCATCCTAGGAAAGGATCACTAATACCGAAGGTCTGGAGCTTGAGAGCAGCATGTTATGGTCTAACTGCTCGAACGTCTTTGAGAAGTCGAGCAAGACTACAACTCTTGTGCCAGAGTCTAGCGCTTCAGTCCAGCTGGATCGTGCTAGTAGTTGCTTTGTAGTACACGATCGATTTCGTCGGAGGCCAAGCTGTTCCGTTGCGCAGTAGTTCTGTTCTTCCAAGTAGGCCGTTAGCGCATCAGAAATATTAACTTCCATGACCTATGAAAGAACTGGTAGTAAGATTATGGGACGGTAGTTGGCTGGATTGGAACGACTGCCTCCTTGGTGCATAGGATTAATCATCCCGTGTTTCCACATGTGGGTCACGTACATTTCGTCAAGACAGTGTTCAAGGAATCGAGCCGAAGGCTAAACTAAACACTCTTCTACTGCCACTAACGACTTCGTGGTATATTATCAACTCCAGGAGAGCTGTGCTGTTGCATACTCAACAGCTTTAATTAAAGCTTCTGCTGTGGAGGATATGTGAGTGCGTTTCGGGGGTCAAACAACCATTGTTATAGAGTGTTGTGGCCAGTTATCGCACTGCAATTTTGCAGCACATTGTAGGCGCAGGGTATTCGCCCCAGCCTTCGGTGTCCATGTGGGTCCGTCCGCTCTTTGGCGAAGAGGTATTCCCCGTTTCAGCTTACATAGACTGTTGTAGTATTGATACAGAAGCTTGTGGTTTGAGGTCATACGTACTGCCAACTTCTGCTAGTATGCCGTTCTATTCTTGCGAACAAGCTGAAGATAGTGGTTAAGTTGGATTACATAAGCTATCCAGTTCTAGTGCTCAGGGAGAGTTTGTAGAGTTGCCAGGATGAGCTTTGCACCGCTATACATTTGCTTATTCAGCTGTGCAGAAACGAGACCACCTTTCTCGGGCGGAAGGTTTCAGTCGACGGCGCTTCGGCAACCAGAGTGTTAAACTGGCTGACGAAATGTTCCCATGCACTAACTGGCGCCTAGTCTGCTAGATAGGTCCATTTGGCTGTCTCACCTAGTCGAGCAACTATGTCGTAGCAAACTATCGATTTTGTTAATAATGATGATAATACTAATAATAGTACTAATAATAATGTGCCAGCTGTACGCCGTAACGGCGCTTCGTTGCCGCACGACCACCCTCAGTGGCGCGCGAGCTGAGTATACCGTGATGAAGCTCAACCTTACGTAGATTCGGACCGGTGGCCTTATGGTTGTAAAACATGTGCACAGACCACACGACCACCGACCCACATCACTTTTGTTGCGTCGGAAATTTCCAGGGGTGTTTTGCATAGCAAACGTGTTCGAAGAGTAGGATTACAAAATAGCTGCGGCCCAAGGGGACTTCGATGATCACTCTCAACCATTAGTCCTTCGTTGGTGTATATCCGATCAAGTGTGGATGCCTTATCTTGTTCTCGGAATCGGGTGGGAGTGTCGTTGTGGCCATACAGCGAGTAAATGGAGACAAACTCTTGTAAATCGGCCTTCAACTATTCTCCGGGAGCTGCTTGGGGTTCCAAAGTATAGAGGTTGAAATCGCCAGTAATGGGAATGTGATTGTAACTTGTATTTATCACCCGTCTTAGTGCGGTTGCCAGATAGAAGTCCATCCTGGGCGTGGAGGAAGGAGGGCGGTAAATGACCGCCACTAAGCCAATGTCGTCGCCTTTTAAACGTAGACGACACCAAAGGGAATCTTGCACCGTGCTGACTAGATCCTCTGTAAGCTCACATTGGAACTCGTTGCGAAGTAGAGTGCCACCCCTCCACCTTTACTGCGTCGGTCGTTTCAAACTATGGACATGTCTGACAGTGTGATCTCGATGACAGTTATGTCAGCGCGTAACCATATCTCCGTTCTAGAGATGTGGCCGCAGGTTTTTGATCGTTGACGCAGCCGCATTTCGGAAAGTTTACTCACTAAATTTTGTGCGTTGGTGTAT